ACTGTACTGATCCTACATTTACCATTGGGAAGTAAATCTCATGTCCAAGTAACAGATGACTGGTGTCTAGAATTGAACCTCAAACCTTTCATTTATTTTACAGAACTGTTTACGTCATTATCTGTTAGGTTAAAACCATAATTAAAGACTTTAATTCAAAAAGCTTTCTATATGCAAATCTAAGTCATACTCCTCAAACCACAAATAAAGTGAATAAACATGGAAAGAAAAATGTGCCAAAAAAGGGGGAAAAGAGGCCAAGTGAAAGGTAACTTCATACCAAATGGCAAGAAGTTCACACACCAAAGTTAGAAGCCCCCACCACCCACACCCACACAACTTTGCCACCTTTTGTCCTCTCATCTTCTTTTCTTTTGCTTCAAATCATATCTCAAAGCTTTCTTTTTCATTTATTTTGAGGTTAAATTTTAATATACACCAATTAAGTTGGAGATACTGGATTATTGATAACTTACACCATGATTTCTACGTTAATTTAAACCACAAGGGTGGTGCCTAATTGGTTTGAGCTTGGCTTCAAAGGTCAAAAGTACTAGAAGGTCTCAGTTTCAAATCCAAGGAGGAAGAAAGATCCCCTTGTGGCCATGGAGGTTCAAATGCGGCGACTTTAGGCTATCTGCAAAGCAGGTATCCAGGTTTATCAAAAAAAAATATATGTTATTTAGCCAGTTGTTTTAGGTATAGGAAAAGATGTGTATGGCATCATTTGACGATAAGTTATAGAAACTTTTAACGAAATCACGATGAATTAGCTGGTTTGTTACTTGTGTTTGCAGACAGATCATTGGTTCGAGTCTTGGTGCAACTGCATAAATTTAAGCAGTAACCTAAAAAGAAACAGGAATTTTGTTAAGAGCAGAACTCAAACCAAGACTTTTTTTAACAGTATAATATTAAACCTAACACCTTAAACCATCTTTTTCGTCTTAAACTTCTCTCATAACTTTAGTTTTAGAAAATATAATGGCGTACAACAAAAATTACAGTGACATCCTTCGAAAATGTAATCATTTTTCACTATGATGGAACCATGTAACGGTGGCGCGACCACCTTCTAGGTCTACCCATATGACATCCCATCTCAAATTAATAGCGACGATTGTTATATGTAATTAGTTTTTTCTTTATAGAAATCACCTCAATGTGAAAAGATCAAAAGAGAACCTTGAAACAAAGAACCAGATAACCATAAAAATGGATGAAAAAATATATCAAAATGGATGTCAAATTATAGATAATAAAGAATCATTTTATGGGTTTAATTTGTTTCACTCCAATTTTTATTATATTTTCGTCGATTTTCGATTTGAAAAAATGATGGTGATATTATATATATATATATATATATGTATGTATGTATGTATATATATATATGTATGTATGTATGTATGTATGTATATATATATGTATGTATGTGTGTATGTGTGTATGTGTGTATGTATAAAGGTTCATTTGAGAAGTAAAGAAGTGATCATATCCTTTTATTTGGTCAACATTTGTTGTTTTGATCGTGAAACATCGAACAATTCCTTGCATTGGTATGCAGAAGATAAATGGATAGTTTCGTAACTTTTGAAAATAGACGGCAAACAGGTTTATATGTGAACTCACGTGATACACATATGAACTATATGCTCATATATTAACTCGTTAATTAGTTTATATGTGAATCACACGAGTTCATATGTGAATCACAAGGCTTCGTATGTGAATAAGTTAATTAGTCAATATGTGAATCACATGGGTTCATATTTGAATCGGTTAAAATAGTTCATATGTGAATTACACGAGTTCAAATACGAACATATAGTTCATATGTGAATCACCCGTTTGCCTCCTATTTGTGAAACTATAGTAATTAATCATCTACTTCATTTCGGGCAATTACCAATAATTTTTCTGTGGACTTCCGGAAATCTCTTTCATGTAGCTTGACACTTTCAATACTAAGATTGAATTCCCTAACTCTCTAACTTGAAATCATTCACCTGGAAGTAGGAAATGAATCCCGGCACGGGTGGCCTCGTTATCCACACCTTTGGTCAGACGAATGGAGAATCAATATTTTTTTATAAGGGCTAAAATCACTTATTTTGGTATCGGAATCTCTCGGCTCAATTTGAGTGACTCCTGGAAAGGTAACACAATAGGGAGAAAGTCAAAAACCTCTTTGCACAACCAACTATGATGCCCATGCCCCTGGGCACTAAGGTGTCTTTGACGTCATAGGCATTTTTTTTAGTTTGTAGGCTAAGGGGCCGTTTACCAAATGCTTACCCGAGTAAGCGCTTATCAAGTAACATTACCTCACCGGATGAATATAATAAGGACCAAGAATCTTACCTAGTAAGAGTGAGACAAGGACCAAGAGTCTTACTCGGTAAGTGAGGGTGACGAATCTTACCCGGTAAATACATAATAATTTTAAATTTTATCGGTAGGCACTTATCAGGTAAGTGTTTGATAAACGACCCCTAAGTGAACAGGGAGCAACGGCTGATATTGCTTTTGGTGAATTATCGGTGCTTAATGCAATAACGGGTGTTATGGAGACAGAAGACAAACCTAGAAAGCTTTTTTTTTTGCTTGCATAGCTTCCCAAGGGTCAGAGCCATTCTCGATGGGTGACCGCAGATTCATCTTACTTTTTATAAATGGAAAAAGAGACATAAGTCACGCATTCGAGCAAGCGCCTTTACCTTTTTTCCGGAAAAGAATTTAACCCTCACTCATCCCATCTCCCTCAGACTTTTAGAGATGAGGCCTTTTGGCTAGTCCAGCTACCTAGCTAGCTCCAGCCCAAGTCTCCAAATCAAAGCTTCGGAGAGCCTTCTCTACAACTTTGGTCAAGGCAATAATACGAAGGCTGAAAGATGGGATATGGAGGGAGCCTCCAAAAAAAAAACTAACAATTTGTATTTACCAATTTTAACCGTATGACTTTTTTACTTCTTAAATATTTACCACTTCTTAAAGTAATATATATATATATATATATATATATATATATATAGGGTTGGGTTCACGTGAGACCAGACTGTTTTCGTGAGACCCGTGAAACCACATTTTTACACTTGAAACTTCACAGCAAAAACACTGTGAAGGTTTGTGAAGGTTTAAAAAAGTCGAATATTCACAGCAAAAACACTGTGAAGGTTACCTTCACAGCATTTTGCTGTGAAGTTTCAAGTGTCAAAAGCTGGTCTTATGGATCTCACGAAAACAGTCTTGTCTCACGTGATCCAACTTCCCAAGTCTATATATATATATATATATGTTACTGTTTATTACAATTAATTGAAAAACATTCTCTGAGGCTACCCAAGTGAAATTATCCACTGCAATAGGTCCCACTCCAACACAACATAATGTAGGGAATATTATTTTTAATGTATGTCATAGATATCATTTAGGTTTTATTTTATATAAATACATTTTCTCTTATTTCTATTTTCAAAAAGTATAATATTTAATTTATTGCATATATTAATATAATCTAATTTAAAATATCTAAAAATAATGATTGAAATATCCACATTTTCATTTCATCATTATCTAGTCTTAAATACTTGTTATTTATTAATTGGATTAAAATTACACAAAAATATGTATTTCACAACTTATAAAAGAATATAATTACATAAATGGAAATAAATAATGACATTTTTGTCATTCGTTTATTGTCACGGTATCTGGTTGTACGTCAAGCACGTTATACAGTAATACTTGTATTTGTTTTTTGGATCTGAAAACTCTAAAGAAAACATCAGACAAGTGTATATTATGCAGTATGAATAGATATTATTATACATTGACCGATTCAACTGAAGAAATACCTATCATTGGATGGTCCTTTTAACGACCTAAATCAACACGCCAAAACAACGTACAACTTCCTTATGCACTTTGAAGAAATACCCATCTTTTCTCGTTTTTTCTTTTTCAAAAAATAATAGCAGTCAAACCGTAGCCCCAAATTGCACGTCTCTTAAGTATAAAAAAATATGCAAAAACAACTCAAAATACATGTTTTAAAATATCATATTTAGAGACTTCTCCAGTAAATGATTACTAAGGGGCCGTTTACTAAACACTTATCGAGTAAATGCTCACCAAATGTTAATTATCTTACCGATTGAGCATGACATGAACTGAGAATCTTACTAGTAAGTGAGGAAAAAGACCCTTACCGAGTTTAAAACGTTTACCAACAATCCGTTTTAATCATTAAGAATGTTCCTCAATAAAACAAGTATTGGTAAACACTTATTCAGTAAATGTTCGATAAACGACTTAAAAAATAGAGAAATTGTTTTAGTATTTTTCCCACCAATTAATATTTAAATTCTTTACTAGAATATTAAGTCTATTTAAATATTTTTATAATATATTTATTATAAAAAAATCCAATTTATAGCAAGTGATGAAGACCCATGGTCATAGGGTAACCATAACTTTTAAAAGGGTCCCACCAGGAATGTTTACATCTTGCATGAGTCCTGTTCCAACTTTCCTTGTTAACAAAATTAAATATTAATTTATTTATTTTATAAATAAAATTATATTACTTTTTGAATCTAAAATCTAGTAAATAATATATAGAGTCTTTGGTCTAACGATATCATAGTCTTTGACCTTCAAAAATAACAGGAATTCAAACTTCACCAAATGTAAGAAAAATGTGCGAATTTATTTATCGTATATAAATATTATTTACTTCAAAAAAAATTTTTGAAGATTTTAATTTCTGATTTTTAATTTTTTACTTTTTAATTTTGAAGGAAAAAAACCACGTTAATCGTTTATACTTCAAATAAAATTTTGCCAAAACATAAAATAAAAACAATTAATGCAAATTCTAAAAATAAAGAAATTGTTTTTAATGAATTACAAAAGAAGAAAAAAGAGAGCATTTATTTTCATCCATCCCCACCTTCTTCAATTCCTCTATAAATTGACACCCACCCTCATCTCCATTCCACACACACTGATTTCACGTTTTCCATACACACACAAACAACTTTCAGAAAAAGAAGAGAAAAACACAACCCAGAGATCAATGGAGACATTCCCAGTTGTGAACATGGAGAAGCTCAATGGAGAAGAAAGATCTGCAACAATGAAGCTTATCAATGATGCTTGTGAAAACTGGGGGTTCTTTGAGGTATGCAATTATGACTTGTACTTTACGATTTAATGCTTGTAACTTGTAATAAATAATGCTCTCAGTTGGCAAAAGGGCGGAGTGACTTTGCTTAAATACACAACATGTTCAAGTTTGAATCCTACAGGAGACAGGCTTGAACCCCTCTGCTAGCTTCAGTCACTGAGTCGACTCTGAAATATCTCCTTACATGTGGATCCTAGAGGGCGGGTTCTGTTTGGGAGACGGGCGTAAATCCCTTTGTTAATTCCAGTTGTTGAGTCAGCTCTAAAATGCCTTGACGATTATTTATTTTATTATTTGCATTAATTGTAATAGATAACTGCCCTCAGTTAGCAAAGGGACAGAGCAACTTTACTTAAAAATACACTACAGATTCAAGTTTGAATCCTAGACGAAACGGGCTCGAATCCCTTTGCTAGCTTCAGTCATTGAGTCAGCTCTAAAATGCATCCTTGCAAGTGGGTCCTTGGGAGCGGGGTTTCATGTGGCAAATGGGCTTAAACCCCTCTGTTGGCCTCCGCTGCTAAGTCAGTTCTGAAATGCCTTCTCACACGTGGTTCCTAGGTTGACGGGTTCTATTTGAGAGACGGGCTTAAACCCCTTTGTCAGCGCTCAACTGACTTAATGCTAAGTCAGCTCTGAAATGCCTCCTCACACATGGTTCCTAGGAACCGGTTCTATATGGACCGGTTGGAATTATTGATAATCAACCTTTTGCTCAGATACTAATAATAATAAGTTGAATGTATGAAGATTGTGAACCATGGGATATCAACTGAGCTTTTGGACACTGTGGAGAAGATGACTAAAGGGCATTACAAGAAGTGCATGGAGGAAAGGTTCAAAGAAATGGTGGCAAGCAAAGGGTTAGAAGCCGTTCAGAACGAAATCGACGATTTAGATTGGGAAAGCACGTTCCATCTCCGACATCTCCCCGAATCCAACATCTCCGATATCCCTGATCTTCAAGACGAATACAGGTATGCATGCATCCTACCTCCAAATCCTCAGTATACCAAAAAACCGAGTTTATAGGTAGCCAAAAATGTCTAAATATCCTAATAGACTGTTCTAATAGGACCAAACAATCATACATCCTATGTAAAAATGTTACGATAAGTTTATAAGACGTTTTAAGGAACTTTTAAAATAAACCATCAAAATTATTTTATGTCGATATTTGAAAAATGAGTCAATAAAAACAAGCATCTTATAAAAAGATGTGTTCATAAAACATACATCATTTATCAAAAAGTGTCATGTAAAGGACACTTTATTTTAAAATGTTCTAAAAAACTTACTATAAACTTATTATTTGGTCCGTAAAATGAAGTCATATAAAGCAGTTTAGTAGGACATTTAGACATTTTTGGCGTGCTATAAACCCGATTTTGTTACAGTGAAAGGCAACATATCAATATTTATGGTTGTTTGGATGATAACAGGAAGGTGATGAAGGAGTTTGCTAAAGAAATAGAGAAACTAGCTGAGGACATTTTAGACATTTTCTGTGAGAATTTGGGGTTAGAAAAGGGTTACCTGAAGAAAGCTTTCTATGGTTCCAAGGGCCCCACATTCGGGACGAAGGTTAGCAACTATCCCCCGTGCCCTAAGCCCGATCTTATCAAGGGCCTCCGGGCCCACACAGATGCTGGCGGCGTCATCTTGCTCTTCCAGGATGATAAGGTCAGCGGGCTCCAGCTCCTCAAGGACGGAAACTGGATTGATGTTCCACCGATGCACCATTCCATCGTCATTAACCTGGGTGATCAGCTTGAGGTACATTACAATACACACACATTCAAACGAAAACCGTAAATATTTTAAAGAACTGGGAACCAACTATTTCATGGTTTATTCATAATGAGTATGAATGATATTCAAGATTATCTAAAGTTATTCATTACGAATAACATGAAAAATAGTTGGTTCCCATGTTCCGAAACATATTTATGGTTCCCTTTTAAACTTCCGTCTACAGGTGTAATTGTCATTATCAGTCAAAAGTACAAGAACTGTTTCAAGATCTTGTACTTTTGCTTTTTTGAATTGAAATGATAAAGGGTGTACTAAAAACGTGAACTTTCAGGTAATCACCAATGGAAAGTACAAGAGTGTGATGCACAGAGTGATTGCTCAAACAGATGGGACCCGGATGTCGATAGCGTCATTTTACAACCCAGGCAGTGATGCCATGATCTATCCTGCACCAGAATTAGTAAACAAGGACGAAGAAGAAAACAGTACCTACCCAAAGTTCGTGTTTGAGGACTACATGAACCTCTACACTCGAGTTAAGTTTCAGGCGAAGGAGCCTCGATTTGAAGCAATGAAGACCATAGATACGGTCAAGGTCGGCCCAATCGCAACCGTTTAAAGTCGAAAAACACATAGTATTGGTGTTTGTGTGTGCGTGGATTTAGTAAAATAAATCTAAGTGATTATACAAAAAATGACGTGTTGAGAGTATATTCATAGGTATTATCTTTTTCTGGTGTCTTGCAGACATCTATAAATGGTTTGAATAAGAACACCATATCTTGAGATACCCTAATGACATAATTCTCTGTTATTTATATATACACACACACACACACACACATATATATATATATATATATATATGAACATTCTAAACCTATGGTATCAATATTCTATACCTATTGTTTTACTTGTTTGTATGTTTCAATGTTGTTGCTTGCTTCTAACCCGGTTTTCAAAATTTAGCATTGTCTTTCTTGTTTTCAAGTTCTTTATTGTTTTTTTCACTTGCACATTTTGCACAAGCCGGGGTCTTCATGAAAACCGCCATTTATATTTTTGGACAGAAGTCAGATTTGCATACATGACACCATCCAGAGTTCTAGACCCCACTTCCAGAAGCTAGTTTGGTTTTTTAGTTGCACAGATTGGGTGTATTCTAGTAGCGGATACTAAAGAAGCCTAGTTCAAGCTCTAGGACAAAATTCCCGGGTCTCTTTTCTATTTTGTATGACCATATGCAAGATTGCTCCTTTGTGACTTGATAGTCATTAGACTTTAGTTTCCAAATGGTGTTTTTCGTGAAACGATGAGTACAAACACAACGCTCCTAACCCATAAAGAGCCAAAGAGCCACGGTGCAACATAATCAGGAATTTAATCCATAGCAACAAGTCCATGGGGAAGCAACTTCTGCAAAAAAGGTACGACGCCACCCTCCATAGCGCCATCAATCTACTGATCCCACGGCCATTATGGGGGATCATGTCCCATAGACAGGTTGGTATTGTATGGAGTATTGGAGTCAAGGATGCCCACCTCCTTATCCGCTAGATTAAAGCAAGAGAGACATGGGGAAGCAACTTCTGCAAGAACAAAAATTTGAAGATGCCACCTTCTGGAGAGCCCCCACTGTACTGGTCCAACAACCATCATGGAGGAGGTAAATTGTATCCCCCAAGGGCAGGTGGTGGTGCATGGAGCCAAGAACCCCCATCTTCTCCTTGCCTGTTAAGCTAAAGCCACGGGGACATGGGGAAACAACTTGGTGTAACCAACAAACCCCAAGCAAAACGTACGCTCAAAGAGACAACAACTAACATGGCTGGTAACAATCTTCCACGAAGCCTCTTGGGTTCTAAGGGTGCGTTTGGTAGAACGGGACTAGTCTGGTGAGAGTGAGGTAATAATTAGATAGAATACCTTCAACCTTGTCAATTGACGGTGAAAGAACAAAATCAGGATATATACCTATACTACCGGCAAGTGAAAGAATTTGGAAGGTTTTAGGATTTAATGTCATATGAATAGTTTAGGCAGCTTAATGAGCTTAATGGAACTAACAGTTTATTCGGTCAGCTATACATGATTGTTTGGTAGGGGCTTAATGATATAGAAAGTGGCTTATTCAGTAAGATTCTAGGGGAAGCTTTATGCAAAAAGCCATGCTTTTTCCAAGCATGTCCATCCCAATTAAAAAACACGCTCCTTCCATCTATAAAATAAAACCTCCCGAACAAAAACCTTCACAATCTATACAGGCAAATTAATCCCCAAGGACAGCCATATCCATACAGGACTTAAAGGAAACCAACCAAACAGCCCCTTAGTAGTTTACCAATCTTGTCCCATTTTCCAAACTTTTGTTCCACCTAATTTGTCAGGACAGGAAAAAGAATACATTTTGGTCCCTCTAAGGTCCTATCATGTCCTAGTCTAATGTCCCACCAAACATAAGACAACAAGTTTTTATAATATCCTATCCCATTAAGTAATGGTCTAATAGTTGATACTTCTTTTGGAAGTACATATTATCATTTTCGCAAGACGAAGAAACTTTGAGCAATAAACTATATTGTGTTACCAAGAGACATGAACATACAGTAATCCATAAGAATGAAAATCTTCCCATCACAAAGACAATCATCGGGTTTTCAATCCAAAAATAGTTAAAGCATAGTAAACGCAATGCAAACCAAGCAAATTATCGTCATATAATGTTTCTTGAAAGCAAATTATCGTCATATAATGTTTCTTGAAAGCAAATATCCCGCAATAGACGAAAAAAAGAGCAAAATGCAGCTGCCTGATGATATGAAAATTAGCATCAGCTCAAAATTATTGGGCATATGGCCCCCAATTAACAATGAGTTTGGGCATAAGCATAAGCACAAGTACAAATCCTAAATTCTGAAACTTACTTTAAAGAAAACCACACCTCCTTTCTCAAATGAATTAACACAAAAATTGTTGCATAAAGATAAAAATCAAACCTTTTTTAAGAGCGGTTGGCTTTTTCGTTATCATCTGCTATTTCAGTCGTATCTGAACTTGGGGTTTTCACCTTTTTGTCACCTCCTTCTGCAGCTTCTGCATTAGAACAATGGTTCTTAAGAACCGTTGATATGTCAACCTCTGAGGCTCCAGCAAGCTTAAACTGTTCAACAGATGTTTCCAAGTGTTTCTCCCACCCGTTCAAACCCAACTTACACTCAACTTGAGATCGCTCGAAAAGCATATTACCCCAAAAAAGGTGTATTTGGGATCTCATTACCGCTGCTTGTTCTGCAGCCTCAACAGCAGAAACCTCACCGCCAGTTTTTGTGTCATCGCCTTCATTACCACCCGCTTGTTTCTTTCTTCTTTTTGCCAAATCTTCTTTCTTGCTTGTATTAGGATCTTTAAGTTCTTTAGCTCTTTGCTCCTCCAATTTTTCCCACATTTCGGTTGCAGATTTCATCTTCTCTTCAGCACTATCGAAAAGCTTAATCGTATCTGTTGGATCCCACTTGGAAAGATCTTCTTTCTTAGCAAGAACAAACGACCAATGAAGTTTTGCCATCTCAAACTGTTGTTGACCGAGTGCTAGTAGTCCTTCATAAAAGTCTGGTTTTATCGACAATGCTTCCTCGTACTTTTTTCTTGCTAATTCGTACTTTTCTTTCACCCACTCGTAAGCTGCTTGAAGTTGTGTGGCCACTATATCTTTAGCGTCCGAATCATCTATAGGGATTCGTTTCCTGGCTGCACACATATGAACGTTCCCCCAATTAAAGAAAGCTAAAGCAGCAACTTCTTGAAACTTTAAGGAAGCTTTGTCGAATAAAGACTGAGCATCTTCACTCGTTACGGTTTCTTCAAGGGCTTCAGAGCACATTTCCATCCCGAGTTCATGGAGGTCAATGTGGGCATCAGCGTCAATTCCTACGTGAGATCGGAATAGCTGAGCAAATTCAAACAGCCAATCGTCCATCTCCACTTCCTTCAACTCAGGATCATCTTTCTCTGATGTATGACCTTTTTCAGTTTTCTTGTCGTCTTCTTTTTCCGTTTTCTTATCGTCTTCTTTTTCTCTTTTCTTATCATCAGTCACAGTTTCGCCTGCCAATTCGTTTACAGTATCATCCGCTTCAAACACTTCAGGCTCAAGAGATTTCGTGCTTTCTTCTTCTTCAACAGGTTCTTCTTCTTCTAACAATGGTGGCTCATGCTCTGGACTAACCTCAACAACATGCAATCTCAACATCCCATATGAGTCAAATTTTTCGACATCATCTTTATTAAGAACAAGGCTGTCTGCAATGGATTCCGCAAGTCTGAGCTCACTAGTACACGTTACAGTCACCAAATCCCCATCATTATCCTTGAATTTTATCAGAACCGACTTTGAAGATGGAAACCGTTTGCTTACAACCTCTCTTAACACCTTAAAAGTGCAGCTTACTGGCATTTGAGCAAGCCGGATATCGTTAGCATACACAAGCTTTAAAGGTCTCCATTGAATCAGAACATCTGACGTCGGCAGGACTGAAGAACCCATATGTTCCTTTTTGTTACTCTTTTCTGGATTACCATCAGATTTGTTAGAACAACCACCTTCAGGCTTTAAAACAAGCTTCGGCATTTGGGTGGGTTTGACCTCATTCTCCGTGGATGGAACCGGATAGGTCTTATCCAGCATTCTGTTAGCAGCACCAACGGTCCCTGATGGTCCAGGTTTCTTAGGAACCGGGCGAGCAGGCAAACAAGGTCCAAGACCACCAATAGGGGCTCCACGGACCGCAGAGGCCCCTAGAGCCGCAGGTGAAGGGCGGCTCTGAAGATCCTGTTGGGATTCTTGTCGAGCCCCATTGATTGGGGTCCGCAACCTTCGAGCAATCTCCAAAGCATCCCTATGATTTGGTTCAACACCTAATAGTCTTTGCACATCCAACAAAGCCATATCATACTTTCCGACCGCCTCATACGCCCTTGCCCTACGTAGTATGGCTCGAACATACATAGGCTGAACCTGTAGCGCCATAGAGCACTCAGATATAACTTTATCATGATCTATTGGATTTATTTGCATCAAACAAGCTGCCCGATTGCCATGGAACACGGCTCGATCCGGGTGGGTTTTAGGGGTGAGTTTAAGAGCCTTTTCATACTGTTCAAGAGCACCCACAAAGTCCCTGACTTGAAACCTTTTGTTACCTTCTTCTTTAAGCTCATGAGCTCTCTTCAAGAAAAGGGATGAGTCCAACTCAATACCACCACCATTGGACACCATTGATGAAGGTTGGGTATTAACTGTAGGCACATGGTTTTGCGTTTGACTTTGACTTTGACTAGGGTTTTGATTTTGATTCTGATTTTGATTCTGGTTAGCCCCACCCCCCTTCTTCTTCCTACCTCCAGATTTCCCCATTAAAATTTGATCTCTAAATTAGCCCTTAACTCGATAAATCTTTAATCTAAGATGTCATAAAACTATGAACTGTCTAATCTGCAGCGTGATTAATAAGATTCTATTCATGAAATCGAAATCCCTTCTGAAGAAATGAAAAGATGGGGTACTTAACTTACCCTCTGATGAATCGCAATTTCCTGATAAGATTTGTCGGTAATGCAGTTGCTGATCCAAGTGTAGCTGGTGAATCCAGGGAATTCCGATTCTTTTGAAGAGATAAAAAGAGGATGAACAATGAGATTGGATTCGGAAGAAAGTGAAATGGGGAATCGGGGGGGTTAACGAAAGTTTATATTGGGTCTGAAACCCTAGATACAGAGCACTAACCGATGGGGTAAGAGTCCAGACACATTCTATTATAAGTTAAGTTTATTTTTTTAAATAAGTGTTTGCATATACATATGTTAGTTTATTAAAATATTAATTGAAATAGTATTTTAATAGTTTATTATCATTTTTTTTAATTATAACGTTCATTAATATTAATTATTATTTTTTACTATTTATACTATATTATAAAATATGTAACAAAAACTCTTAAAAATTATTTTTTATGTATAATTATTGTTTATTAATGCATATTACTTAAAATTCAAGATTACAAATAGATTGTGTATAAGTATGATTTATTGAAGCTTCATGTTTGAAAATTTGTGTAACTAACTGGAGATAAATATAATTAAATATTGAATAATACATCTCATTTTAAATATAAAAAATTTAACATATAATTAGGATAATTATTGAGTTCTAACAAAGTACTTAATTACTATTTTTTATAAAAAAATTATGTTATTAAATAATAAATAAATTAATTCGTTATTAGATTTAAATTAAATTAAAGAAATTATTAAGAAGTGAAAACTGTTAAATTATTAATTTAATATCGGTATCGGTATTTTCTTCTCAAATTATTATTAAATGTATTTTGGTTATCAGAACGCAAATATAACAGTTTTATTATTGTTTATGCAACATAAACTTTAAAATTATATTTATTTGTTTCATAGATAATAAAAATATGTTAAATAATCTGAATAAAATATTTAATTTGATTATTAAATATATTTTTTGATAAAAATATTAATTAATTAGGATGTGTAAAGTAAATTTTTATTTATATTTATATTTATATGAGATGTAATAATTATTTAAAATCATAAATAATAGGTTTTTTTCTAAAATTTGTTTTAACAAATCAAATATTATAATATATATAATAATCAATTTGAAATTCTTTTAATCAATATTATTAATTTTTTTTAATTTTTTTATCATCTTGTTTATATTAGTTAATATATTATATTATCAGAGATTTGTTTCAATTATATTTTGAATTATTATAATTAATTAATTTCTTAAGATGTTTTTTTTGTTATTTTACATTTTTATAAGCTAGTTTCATCAAACATAATTCATCCATCAGCTAGTTTATCAATCACTAGATAGTTTATCAATTAATTTGCCACACGTAGCTTAAATATAACATGAACAATAATGGGTGTATATTTCCATGAGTAAATTACCCAATTGCCCTTCATGTTTCCTAAACTCTCGCCAATTGTCATTACGATTTAGAGAAAATAAATAAGTGTTCTACCAATTGTCACTAAAGGTTTAGAAATTGCATCAATTGCTTTTATTGTTTAAATTTGTCCTTGGCCTTAACATCTGTTAAAACCATCCATTATTACGTAAAGGGTATTTTGGTCATTTTATAAATAACTTTGAAAGAAAAAAAAAATTAAGTGTTTATAAGTGAATGTAACTTGTCCACAAGTATATAATACAATTTACAAGTATATATTGGGAAAATAGAAGGTTTTTGTATATGGGTAAGAAAACAAAACCTTGTAGGGTTAACTCAACTGGTAATAAGCTTTTGTTTTTTATACGTTAACGGTTCGAATCCTACAAGGCCATTAAGGATTTTTCTGGTTGTTCTTTAAAGCCCCTGGGATTAGTCGAGGTGCGCACAAGTTGACCCGGATATCGGAGTTAACAAAAAAACAAGGAGAATAGGACTAGAGGCTAGTCATTAGTATTTGATGCATGATGGGATCATCGTGTATACTTTTTGGCCGATGATAGCAAGTTTTACTGAATTATAGTATTAATGTGTAGTTTGTACCGGTACAATTAATTGGTTAATACACGTTTCAAAAAATATCCTCAAAAATCAAACTGATACCCTACATGGTGAAATTCTCTAACCCAAAAATTATGTGTACGGAACTCCATATTTCACGTGATTCTTATATTAAAAACAAAATAAAGTAAAAAACGAAAAAACTTGAAAATTTGGAGGAAAAGTGATGGGATCCGAGAACAATGGAATTTGGACCAAGATAATGAAGCTCTTTTGTTTAAAGGGGTGTTTGGGATTGTTTATTTGAAACAACTTATGTTTTTCTAGGAAAACACTTATCAACTTATTATAAGTCAAAAGGGTTTAACTTTTTCAAAAACTTCTTATTACCGGTTTGGTACCGGTATAAGTTGTTTATCCAAACACTCAAAAATACTTATTAACGGTACCATACCGGAATAAGTCAATAAATTGTTTTTATAAGCAATCTCAAACACGACCTAAGTGTGCACATCATCAAGACCTTTTCAATGACTGATCACGGATTCTAGAAATACCTATGTCCAGTCAAATAGCTTCATGAGGATACACAACTGCGAGTTATGTGTTCCACGGTCTCCGGCTCTTTTCAATTTTGTCAAAATCTTCTAAGCCATCAAAAATTTCTTCTTTCGGGACTTTATATGTGTGTTTTTTTTTTAAATTGCAAGTCGGGGGTCTTCTCGAAAAGAGTATTTAAGGGTATAGATGAAGCATAAATATATCATATATATATATATATATATATACTGAATAGACCCTACATCTCGCTGGGATATACCAGAATTAGATTATGATTTATCATATATATATATATATATATATATATACTGAATAGACCCTACATCTCGCTGGGATATACCAGAATTAGATTATGATTTCCCAAAATACAACCATTTCCTTCAAAATATAAAAAAAGGCAGGTTAATCACATCCATTACATCATAAACATCTGATGGTTAATATAAGTTTTCATGTTCTCAACTTTGATATTGTTCTCGTTTGAACCTCTCTGTATACTCGTATACTAGATTTACAGACTTACCATTTTAAACCATGCTTGAAAAACATTATGACTCCTAAAGCTTGAAGCTTGACTTACGTCACGTCTAACCTTGCTTAATAATTGAAAGCAAACTAATAATACGCATAGAAACGTAATATATACAAAACATCAGCCACAGTAAGAAACAGTGTGGCCGAGAAGCACGAAAACGTTGAAAAGTGAGTGAAGTTGAGGAAGGGTATAAGAAACCCCATTCCAGAAACCACACCATATAATACTACTCTTTACATAACTATTTCTATACATGTTTACCTATCCCATAGGGTAGGGTTCAAGTGAAACCAACCTGTTTTTGTAAGACTTGTAAAAACTCAAAATAACATTAAAACTTCATAGCAAAACATTATGAAGGTACAAAAAACATAGTACATTCACAGTTTTTTGCTGTGAAGGTTCAGTGTTATTTATGTGGTATTACGAGTCTCACAAAAACAGGTTGATCTCACTTGATCTGTATTTACCTATCCCACATATATATATATATATATATATAACCGGATCAAGATTTTCGGTCTAGGAACGATGGTGGCTTGGAAATGTCGAACATCTGGAGAAAGATTTGATCAGAAAGCCTTGATTTGTTACCAGCAAACTGCTTATATTCTTCATAAATTGCATCCAAACACCAATTTTGCAACTTCCTCAGGCATCCAACAAGACACCCAGTTCGATGCTGAAATTAATTAATTATCAAACAACAATTAATTAATTATAATTTACCACTGTAATTAATTTGAATATGAGCTAAGAAGAATAAACCTTTCCACGCTTACAATGGATGAGCACCGGATGGTTTTTTGCATCTGATCAATAACAAATATAAAGAGGATTTCAACTAAATTCTTGTTAAACTATATTTGGAGAAAGATCACTTTAATAAAATCGGAATTATAGGACGTCAACAATGTCTGAGGGGCCGTTTACCAAATATTTATCCAGGTAAGCGCTTATCAAGTCACATTATCTTACTAGATAAATATGACAAGGATAAAGAATCTTACCATGTGACGCTGACACTCTTGACACGGTTAGTGCTTACCGAATAAATTGTTGCATACGATACCGTTTTGATGGACTAAAATCTTACCCAGTTAGTAAGTGCTAGTATTGAATTTTGCCGATAAGCACTTACCCAGGTAAGGGTTTGGTAAACGGCTCCTAAGTGTCTTAATAGATACCTATATAGGATATAAGTTTATAGAATTAAACAATAAAATGTACCATTTAAAAGTGTTGTGATAAGTTTATAACATGCTTTTAGGCTTCTTAACAAGTTTTTTATGATAGTTTTAAAATAAAACGTCATATTAGCTATTCTATAGACCACTTTTAAGAACTGTTCTAAAAACATATCTTTTTATAAGATATTTTTTCAAATAGTGTCATTTAAAATATATACGTGCTAATTTCCTACAAAAACTTGTTAAGACACCCAAAAACTTCTTATAAACTTATCACAACACTTTTATACAGGACACTTTATTGTTTGATCATATAAAACAATCTATTAAGACACTTAGACAATTTTGACGTCCTATAATCCCAATTTTGTTATAGTGAGGATCATATATAAGAATCGCGTGAGAACCACAAAAATGTTACAAACTCATGAGAACTAATCTCAATATTGCTTCCCGTGATTTCTTTTTCATCAAATCTAGAATTTAAGATATTGTTTCACATGTATTTGTTTCATAATTATATGAAACATTTTACATGCATTTTTTTGTTTTACAAGATAAGACAATACATGATTCACTAATTCTCACAGTTTAACATTTTTGAGGTTCTCATTTGATTACCCCCGGTACCCAATTAAATTTTCATACCAATGAGAACATTTAAAGCCCCACGGATTTTTTCCTCTTGGATCTCCATAGAAGGATTCTGGTCCTATATCAATTACATACATATAAAGATGATCATACTAATTAAAAAGAATCAACAAAAGGTAAAGTGCCTTGTGTTATCCGTAAATTGTTAAGAATCTCATACAATTCAAGCATATAGATACAGCAATCCAACATATATACATACATATATATATGTGTGTGTGTGTTATATACCTAAAGGAAAACTAATATCATCCCGACTGTAACCAAATAAATGTTGGATGTTTAGTCAGTCAAACTATTCAGCTAATTTGTTGTTGATGATGCTTCCTTGTTATGTTGTAATTTTGTCATAGTATATTTTATATAATTTTATTAATTTTTGTTTAGGCATTTCAGGAAAGATCATTATATTCATGATCACGGTGTTAGTCGGTTACGATAGCAAAAGGTGATGGTTGTGCTGATTTCAATAGCATAAAACAAAATGCCACCGACTACTATACGCATTGTTGCATTATATAGTATAATGTACGTCATCTCATAAATGAATTCTTATTACAAACCAATTTTCATATGTTCTTGACTTGTTTCACATGTGGAAACAACACATGTGAAAATGCAACGTGAAACGTTCAATGACTATTTTGTGTGTAGAAAAAACAGCTTAGAATGTTTCACATATGAAACAATAATATATAAAAACTACATTCCATTCGTAGTGTTTCATATATGAAACAACACTTGAAAACTGGTCTATAATCCGAGCTCATTTATCAGAACATGTACAAAAGTACTAGATAATGCAACAATGAGTATAGGAGTCGGTGGTATTGTGTTTTACGCTAATGAAATTAGCACAGCCAACACCTCTTATTATCGTAACCGACTAACACTGTTCATGAATTCTTGAGTTTGTAAAAGGAGTCTCACTCTATAGTCTATACACACATATATATGTACCAATTTTGACAACATGTTCGATCTGAGACAAATACTACTTTAATACATATGATAAGTGAAACCAAGTTATAATTTCTTAATGAGTATATGGTTGTAAATTGTAATGTAGTTATGTGGGGAATATGAGGCATGTAAACGGCAAGAGATTCATGTTCTTGCTATAATTTTTTAAGATGAACACCAAGAGATAGCCCAACTTTCCCAAATCAACTGAAGTTTGGAATTGGAAAAAATTAAATTCAGAAGCCGAATCTTAAAATTAATCAAGCATGCAGACATATAAGTATCCATTAATTTCAATTTGAGTTACTTCATCAGAATCATGGATTCTTCAAGAAGAACTTTGGCTGCATAATCGATAAATCAAATTAATTCATGATATCATAGAGGAATTATTTACACACATAAGATCAGCACCGACCTTCGATTTCTCGATTCCGAACTGATGGAGTTGAATCGCATTAGCATTGAGAAACTCCAAATTCGCTTCGGGATAAGGTTCAGGACACAGATATCTTCTTACACACAAAATCACCACAAATATCACAAATCCAGAAACGATTTCATCGATCACAAGCAAATTAACATACTCGTGAAATTAACTAAAAACTTACATGATTGATCGAAGTCCGAGGGTTTTTAAGAAGGATAAATTAGTCGTATCTGGAAATCCGGACCTGAAGATTCCGTCATCAACCACCGCAAAATTAAAAGGCGGAATGTGCAGGTGGTCGGAGCTTCTTTCCTTCAAGTCGACAACAGTCATATCGTCCCTGTTTTCACCGGAAGATTCTCCATCAACTTCGATGGCATGGAACACCATGGATGGCGAGCTTTCAGCCTTAATGGCGTTTGGCGCCAAAAGGCAGACGGTTGTAGTTTATGTGTGTGTTTTTGGGTGTCTTATATGTTAAAGAAGAGAAAGACGTACGCCTCTATATATATATAGCGGTTACAATGTCATCTTAGGTTTCTTATTAAAATACTTTTATTTATATTTCAAACACAATTTATGTAAATGTTATATAATATAAATTGACGTCAACCGTTTGTACTTTGTACAGATTATCAAATCAATGTCAATAATGAGGTGAAAATCGATCCAAAATTTAGGGGCCGTTTACGAAATGCTTACTGGGTAAGCGTTTAGTGATATCACTCACCTTACCGATTGAGCAGAACAAGGACCAAGAATTTTATCCGATAAGAGGTATTAATAAGGAACGAGAATCTTACACAATAAGTGAGGGGATTGACTCTTATCCGGTAAACATTTATCGGGTTAAGATGTTTACCAACATTCTATTTTGATGGCCAAAAATGTTAGATGATAAGGTAAATGAGGATAATTTCCTTTCCCAGTAAACGTTTACCTATACTATAAATGTTTTGGTAAACGACCCTCCCTAAGTTTTTAAAGTATAAATCATGTAAAAGTTGCATATAGTACCAACTAATCTCAACCATTTATGTAGGTTATTAAATTAATCTAAACGATGTGAAATTATCCTTACCAACAAGGATTCGCTCTGGGCTAAATGAATTCACTCCTACAGACTTAAAGATTGAAGCTTCTTGGATGCCCCAATTCGTAGTGGGTTGGTTTAGAATGGAGGAAGATCCTGCTTATGCAAGATAAGATTAGAGACTTCATTGTATCTCATATTGGCAATGGCAATTCCATCTCTATCTGGTAAGATAATTGGCACCCTATCCAGGTTCCTCACCTCGTGCAATATCCTTAACCCTTTGCTAGGGTTAAGGACATCATCTACAATGGCAGCTGGGTCTACCCTCAAATGCAGGATAACTCTAATCCCATCATTTGTGACCATTCCCCCTTTTCTCTCTCCCTTCATCCTTGACAAGCTTCATTGGAGAAAAAAAGGATGGCATTCTCATTGATTTCTCGATTCATGATGTTTGGCTTAACTTTCGTCCCAATGAGCCTGATGTGATGTTAACTAACACCATATGGTCTGGTTCTCACAAAGCATCCAATACATGCGTTCATTCTTTGGAGTTTGGAGTGCCATGAAACAGCGTCTGAAGATGCATGATAAACTCCGCTTTTGGGAAGCCTATCCTACTATGTCCTGTGTTTTCTGTAATAATATGCCTCATTCCATAATCATATTTTGTTTGAGTGCTCTTTCTCGAATCATGTTTAGACGATCTTAAGTCGAAAATAACCTGCCTAATATCCTAGACAATTGGGTTGACATCATCAAACATCTCCAACAATCCAACAAAGGCAAGACTATTTGGTCTATTATTTGCAAATTAGTGCTCACTGGTACATCCTATCACTTGTAGCAGGAAATAAATAATTGTATCTTCACAAATAAAAGAAGATCACATAACACGGTGGTTAAGACTATATCTGTCTGATCGAGGCTTATGAGCCTGACCTTAAAGTTTTCCCCTAATGTTGTTCAAACTAAGCATGTCTTGCCTCCACCCATGTATTGATGTTGGTTTGTTTTCTGTCAAAAAAATTAATGAATATGTTTTCTCTTGATTGAAGGGTCTTCCTCTCTATATCAAAAAAAAAACCTTTATTTATGTTATTTTATAAAAGAGTATATTGATGTTTTTTTAATAAGGTATAAATATAGATTTAACTATTTGCTAAAATAAGTAATTATTACATGATATTTATGAAATTGATTTTAGTCAATAATTTCCTTAGTGTAGTCTAATTAATGTTTAGTTATTTAATTATTAATTATTTCATTTATTGGCTTKTTAAGTCAAATATTGTATTTTTAAGAGAAATAAAAAATTTACCCTTTTAAAATAACTAGAAGGGTACTCGCGTAATACAGCGGGATACATCTCGATTTTAATGTTATATTTTATTCTTTGTCTCTGTCGATGTTATAATACGATTTTATGTATTTTTAATAAAGCAATAATGATTTTATTTTTGAATAAAATATAAATTTGAAGATATCATAAAAATTTTAAAAAATATATATCAATGTTAATATCGAATCAACTATTTAAAAGTTCTCATTTTTATGTAATTTTTTTAATTTATTTTTTTATCATATTTAATTTAAGTTTAATAACGAAATAATTTATTTTTGGTTTAATAATATAACATTTTATAAAGATAATAATTAAGTATTCTGTTAGAATTCAATGATTATCCTAATTATATTTTAGATTTTCTATATTTAAAATGAGATGTTTATTCTGTATTTGATTATGTTTATCTGCAGTTAGTTACACGAATTCAGATATAGANTTAATAATATAACATTTTATAAAGATAATAATTAAGTATTCTGTTAGAATTCAATGATTATCCTAATTATATTTTTATATTTTTTATATTTAAAATGAGATGTTTATCATGTATTTGATTATGTTTATCTGCAGTTAATTACACGAATTCAGATATGAAGCTTTAATAAGTGTATTTATGCATAATCTACTTGTAATCTTGAGTTTTAAGTAACATGCATTAATAAACAGTATTTTATGCATAAAAAATGGTTTTTAAGAGTTTTTACCAAATGTTTTATAATGTAGTATAGATTAACGAAAATAATTCGATTTGATTTGTTTATCTTATTTTCTTTTAATTTTCTAGAAAAGCCAAGAAAACGCACATAAAAGAGTGAAATATGCCAATAAATTAATGTATTTCTTTTAAATTTTACGGGTTTCGTCTTTATATTCCTTTTATACCAAGTAAATGAAACTCACGGTCATATATTTTCCACTTCACTTGACGGGAATATTTGTCTACCATTAATTTTGCCCGATTTAATGGTTTCTAATGCAAGAAAATACGTACAAAGGGGGGAAATGGGTTTATCAACAAAAGTTGGTTGGTTTTCATTATCGTTATTCAAGTCATCAACTCAAAAGAGAAAAATGACGTGAAGACGATGCTGCTTTTAAGTAAAGTGGGTAGAAAAAAGTGTAATTGAAGTTCTTTCGTATACTGAATGATATACTTAATGAATTGCGTAAACATGAAGCCCATTATACGGTCCTACTTTCCACGTGTCATCTGTGAGACGTAATCATGCATAGAATTTCAAACTTTTTTGTACTTGAAAAACTTATGCAATAAAATTTATAAGGACATTTTTGTGAATTTCATAGATTGTAATATACAGTTGAAAACAAGAAAGTAGATAAATTAAAATCGGTTAACTAAACACATGAGAAACAGAGACTAGAAGCAACATCCCCCTTCCTACATCACCACCTCCACCATCGCTGCCACTGTAGTCACCATCACTACCACTGTAGTCACCTCCACCAGTATCTACCACCACTGATCCCGCCACATTTAAAGATGAGCAAGATATCCTTAGATGATACGAAGAACTCCAATGAATTAAAGTATAAATTTCAATGGTCTTCCTTGCTAACATATCAGAGTTGTGCTACGTGGCATAAGAGGGTATGAACAGGATGTGTGGCAAATGATCCAAGATCAAAGAGTCAGAACTTTTATTGGCAAAGTCGAAACTCATCATAAAAATACCGTGTATGTACTAATCACAGCCCATCATTGGCTATTAACACAAAACGTTGATGAGAATACAACTTAATGTTGTTTGATCATGGTTTCCTATTCTCTGTTGGAGACGTTTACAGATCAAATCTTTCAATAATACGTGTTTTGCTTTGGGTAACGAACATCGACATTTTATTTGAAGATCTCATGGAACTGGGATAATACTAGTGGAATAAAGAAAACCTAGAGAAACTTGTTAGAACATTGGTTAACAATAGAATTTCGTTATTTTATGACTGTCACAGAAAACAGTACAAATAAAGAAATAATCAGATTAACAAGTTACAAATATAATCGTCTCATGGTTAATTCCTAAAGAATCAATTATAGAATGCCACCCGGTGCTAACCTTTTGATGCCATGTGGCAGTATGATATGGGCCTCAAGCAAACCAACCGATGTGTGCCATATGGCAACGCAGTCGTGCAATCATCATGCTCATGGTCAAGAGAGGAACCATCCTTTATATATTTCAAGTCGAATTTGTACATAAACATAATACGTATCACACGTCTCCAAAACTTCATGTTCCCTTTGTTGATGGAATGAGGATTTATGAGAAACCGATTGTTTGATTGAGTAACCAAAGTGTTAGAGACATTTCAATGGCGAAGATCGTGTGTAGATATGTCCTATCTAGCATGAAACCGAACACTGTGATTCCAGCCCTGTTGTTCTCAAAGTACGTCACTGCAACACGTAATGAAACCATATCAGACTACTTTTAAAAGATTATTTTTTTGCATCATATATTTGAGAATAAATGATCCAAGACTAATAGATATGGGACTCCAACATTTTTTTTCTGAAGCCACACTCACTACAACGAAATTGGGTTTATAGGAATTAAAAAATGTCTTAGCGTTTTTTAAGATTGACATACAAGACTCGATTTATACGACCAAACAAAAAAACATCATATCTAAAGGTGTTATAAGTTTGGAACCAAAGTTTTTGGGCGTTGTAACAAGCTTTTTAGGACATTTTTATATAAAATAAAGTGGTATTAGCTGTTTTACAGGATACTATCTAATAAGTCTATTATAAAAACAAGTGTCATATAAAAAGATGTGTTAACAGGATACTTCTCAAAAGTGTCCTATAAAATAACTAATTATTAAAAGTGTTATAAAAACTTGTTAAGACGCACAAAAACGTCATATAAACTTATTACAAAACCTTTAGATAAGACGTTTTATTGATTGGTACTATAAAGTTAATGTAGTTGGTGTCTTATAAACACAAAATTGTTGTAGTGACTACTCGCCTTTAGTGAGGTTTGACCCTTGACCTCAAGAGAGGTTGAATTGTACCAGTAACCCAGATACCGTTGAGCCAACAACCCTTTGGTATAATAATTTGTATGATAGTGGAGGTCCAAATAAGACGGCTAAATATCGTGAGAATGTAAGAAGGAAAGACTATGGAAGGTTCATATGTGAATCACTGAAAAAAATCTATTTGAAGATGCATATGCGAACCCATATGAATAATCGGTAAATTTCGTTTCATTGATGCATCTACAAAAAGTTTTATTCAATGGATTAACATATGAACCTTTCTTTCTTACCTTGTCATGATATTTAGCTTCCTTATTTGAACCAACATCTTGTAAGATATATGGCAAGTATTCTGATATGGATAACCACAAGGGTTGTGGCATGGTCGTTGAGGCTTAGGGGAATGTGGTGGGATATGCCAATTGCACCCTATGTTCAGTTAGGCGTCCACAACAATTGTGGCCACTGAGTTTATCATGACTAATATCTTACGGTCGCAAATTGCTGGGACTAGTTGGACCATAACCCGGGACACCCTTTCAGAAAAAAATATATATTCATATATGAAACTCACCTAAGGCTTGTCTCTTTTGGTATGAGAGTGTATGCCTGTAAATTGGAACTAACTTTGTATTGTCCAATTCATCTTCATCTCCTTCTTCATTATCTGAACATTGATGGGCATCAAAATGGTTGTTAGATCTCTCGGAAGTAATGTTAGCCGATGGGGATTGAGTCTCGTCAGTAGGATCCATGTCGTCGAATGAGTCAACGGTGGCGCACGTGTGCCATTTGGCTGCCAAGCTCGTTACCGATTGAGCTTTGTGTGTGATCTTTGCTGCATTTCGTAGGCATATGAATAACCCGCTCACGAGAGTCAAGGAGCACAACTGCACCACAGTCCACAATGAGATGATGTCAACGTGATGGGATGATTTTATTGAAGTATTCTCACAATGTTAAAATAACATGAAATAAAAGATAAAAAAGTAAAGAACGATACCATGAGTTCTCCGGCAGTCGAAATATTGACGAGTGAACCCGTCCGAGTCATCACAAGCAAAGAAGCAAACTGGCTCGCCGTCACCAATATCAAAGTCGATAACACAAACCCACGAAACCTATGACTTATAATACGAAGCGTCCTTCTAATCGAAAGATGCTCCATTAATATCAAACCGACATCTCCTTGTTTCTCGAAGACTTTCGCGAAATCTTGTAACCGGAATATTTGCATCGAACATGTGAGTTTGAAAAGCACACAAACAAGAAAGAAGAGTGATGTACGATATAACCAAGATCCTAAAAGCAGGATGCAAGCCAAGGTGTGGCTTAAATAAATGTTGGAGATATACGGGATTTGATGTGCTCCTGAGATGAACCACCAGATTTTGTAGATGGAATCGGCAAGAAAACATGGAATCACAAATGCACAGAAGAACTTCATTGCTTTCTGCAAAAATTAAGAGTTGTATTGTTAATTTGAACATATAATCAAGAACCAAAATGGGTATTTTTGTGCTTTTTATATCGATTTTGTAGAAAAAAGTATGTATGTATGTATATACACAAAAATATTGAAATATAGATATAGGTAGCAGTAGAATCATCATTTTTGCCGAGTTGGTGCATCTTTAAGGTAGATCAAAGGTCTATAAAGTCGTTTGATGTCAGCGGCGGATCCTGGTTTATTGTCGAGCGGATGCACCTTTAACGTGGATCAAAAGCCTGTAAAATTGTCCGATGTTTTTTCAGCCGATTCGACTGAGGGATTTTTAAGTTTTTTGGTTGATTTCAATGAACTTTTTCGGTTGATCTCGAGGGATTTTTTCTGTGTTCCTTGTATTTTCTAATATTCTGATGCAACCAAAGAAATCCACTTGTGAAAATCAATTGAGCGGGTGCATGGTACGTCACTCAGTTCTTTATAAGTCTCTCCTTGCACGATGTGTTTTTAGCCGAATTCCACCACTTTGAAGGATTTTAAGTTTTTTTGTTGATTTCAAAAGACTTTCGGTTTTTTGGTTGATTTCAATAGACTTTTTCAGTTTCTTTGTTGATGTTCCTTATATTTTCTAATATCACGGAGCACCACGTAAAGTTTGCGGGTGCACCTTTCATACCCTGGAAAATCCTACTTGTGAAAATCAGTTGAGCGGATACACAAGACCTCGCTCGGGCCTTCATTACTTCATAGGTTCGTCAATCATAAAAAATACTGTAAAATACAATAAAAAAATAGTAAAATACATCCAAATATAGTATCCCAGATCATCATTACAAATGGAAGGTGTTGTTCGGGTTAAAAAACATTCTATCAGCTTTCCAAGAGACTGGTAATTTTTTGAATAAAGTTCATTTTAGTTCTTAGCTAGTGTAACAATTTTTTTCTTTGTCAACTAATCTAACTTATGAAATATATGGAGGGTATTAAATTACACCCCAAAAGAACAGGAGAAGAGAAAAGAGAATTCCGAACCTTTATTGAAAATAAATTATTCAAGTTTAATTGACGTAGAACTTCACACTGCTTCAAAATTATTCTATATTTAATGTAATAAACTTCCAAAATTTCTAATTTAATGTAACAAAAGTTTCAACCACTTTTATATTTTTTAATCTTTTTGACTGATAATCAATTGATTTTGTAACATTTAATGATATAAATGTCATATTTACTGTCCACTACTTTTTAACTCTTAAAACATATATTCATGTCATCAAATTAAATGTTACAATATTAACATGTTATCGGTTAATTCTAAGTTCTAAAATCTCCGATGTTGGCAATTCTACATCAAACTTAATCATCAATTCATATTTATCTAGAAGATTTCCACAATCAAATCAAAAAATTAAACCTAATTGCAAAGGATGAAGGAAACATACATGAAGTTGATCGGAATATCCTTGGCGAACTTTATCGCTGACATCACACATCTTATCAAGGAACAGAAATCGCCGGAGACCATATTTCCGGGAGAAATACGAGAGACTTACGAACGAAATAGCCGAGAATACAGATAACGATGACTGTACGATCCAATCAAATGGACGGCGGTGGTGTTGGTCACAGGCGGAACACTGAAAAGCGAAGTGTGATAGTATCGGAACGCAGATCGCCAAGAGGACGAAGATTGACCATGAGAGACCAGCTTTCCGTAGATCCGACTGATCTGGAAAAATCCAGGAGAAACTATTCGATTCAAGAGCATCGATAATCCAGTAATTTGATTTTGTGTTGATTTTGTGGTTTATGGTTGTGATCAGCAATGTCTCTTTTGAATCCGCCATTGATTTCGAATCAATTTGGCTCCAAATTTGAAATGAATCTTAGGAACATGAAGATTGAGTTTCTGATCGAGGGTGGTGGCCAATATATATGGATAGAGATAGTGATTTTTTTCAAAATAATATAGTCCCTCCGTCGTAAATAAGCATCGAAAATAAATAAATAAAAATTGTTGGGTTTTATCAAGAAGGGTACTTGTGCAATACAGTAAGATACATCTTGATTTTAATATTTTATTTTATTTTTTATCTCAGTCAATTTAATAATATGTTCTTATATGATTTTAAAAAAACGATGATGTTTTTATTTTTAAATAAAATATAAATTTGAAAATATCATAAAAATTTGACAAAAATATATCGATATTAGTATCAAATTAACTATTTAAAATTCCTATTTTCTGTGTAATTTTTTAGTTCATTTTTTTATTATAATTTAATTTAGGTTCAATAACAAAATAATTTATATTTGGTTTAATAATACATCATTTTATAAAGATAATAATTAAGTATTCTGTTAGAACTCCATAATTATCCTAATTATATTTTAGATTTTTTATATTTAAAAATGAGATGTTTATATGTAGTTAGTTACACGAATTCAAATATGGAGCTTTAATAAGTTGTACTTACGCACAATCTACTTGTAATCTTGAGTTTTAAGTAATATGCATTAACAGACAGTATTTTACGTATAAAAAGTGATTTTTAAGAGTTTTTGTCAAATATTTTATAATAAAGTATAGATAACAGGTTCATTATCTACAAGCGTAATTTTTCATTCCTGTCCATGGAATGAAAATACTCTGTCATTTTCATTCTCCCCTCTAAACCAAACAGCCTCGAAATGTGCAAAATGAAAAAAAAGGTATACATTTTTAAGAAAGACAAATTTCATGAAAAAGTAACATGCTTTAATTTGATTCATATTATGGTAACGTATTCTCAAAACTTCCTTTTTGATACATAAGATGTAATGTTTTAAACATTTAAGTACCTGGGTAACCGGTTACCATACTGATTTGGCGAGTGATGTGATATCCAACTCAATGTTATTTGTTACTCAACCCAATTTCATTTCATCACTTGCCACATCAGCATGGTAACCGGTTAATATTTCAACCGTTTACTCGGGTATTTAAATGTTTAAAATTTTACATCTTATGTACCAAAATGAAAGTTTTAAAAAATACGTTACCCAAAATAAGAATCAAGTTAAAGTAAGTTGTTTTTTCATGCAGTTTGCTCTTTTAAGAATATGTAGTTATTTTATTTTTTAATTAACAAAATAACAATTTTACTTTTAATCATAACAAGAGAAGTTTCACTCATGTCTGAAAAATTTATATTAAACTGTTTGGCAATTGCTGAATAGTTTGGTGTAGAATGATTAAGTGGTCAAAATGATTACTAGGCTCTTATGATATAGTGCAAAATGAAATATAATTGTTTGATAATTGTGTACAGTGAAATTAGGGCTCTTAATGGTTGAGGGAGATCTATGATACAAAATCATTCAGAGGGTTTTAGAACCATTAAGATGCAGACTTTTTTTTTTGTCAAACAAGATTCATCTTTTAATGATTCAGATATTGCCTCTTAATTGAACTATTAAAAAATAAACAAACAACCTTTAAGTTAAAATTGAACACTTATTTTAAAACAAACTAAAATAAAAACAGAAACAATTATTTAGAAGAGAGGAAGTAAATGTTTATGGAATCATGCACACAAAAATGAAAATAAAGGGAAGAAAACCATTCAAGATAATATTGTGTTAATATGTGTTTCATATTTTAAATATCTGGATATGTTTTGTTTCAGGCTGTGAATTTTTATTATCTTGGGACCATTTTGTCCACTTAAATTAAGTTGTACACTTAGATAGTGTCATTCTGTCAATTCTTTTAGGTACGTTTGGTATTCAGACATAATAGAAAAGGAACAAATGTTTAACATTTGGTAAGACAGAATTGACATAACAGAAAGATAAAATACTATTTTACCCTTAATGAACTATTTATATGTATTGATTAATTTATTAAATATAATAAATTAAAAAATTTATATAATAAATTAAAAATTTTATATAATAAATATATCATTAGAAAGTTTCTTCAAAACAATTAAAGTGACACAAAAATAAAAGGTTTATATAGTTTCTAATTTATTTTATACAGTTTCTATATTATTTTAATTAATATTTAATAAATTACATAAATTAATCAAAATATAAAACAATATAAAAATAATATTTTGAGAACAGTAATACAAAAAATAATTTTAAAAAAATGAATAAAATCATTAAAATATTAAAAATGGAGATGTATTTAATCTTTTATAAGATAATTGAATTTTATTTTGAGGATATATTAGTAAAATATATGTCTTATTCATCTTATTCAATGGGGTGGGGGTGGAACACGTCTGTTCCACTTTATTCATTTATGTTCCACATAAAAGTCATATTAAACATGGAAAGTGGTATTTGTTATGTTTTGTTCTATCTTATCGTACCAAACGCACTCTTAAGTTTCAACCTTGCAACCGTACTCTTTCAAAACCCAAATTTTTTGGTCTTTTATAAGACAGAACAAACATAACACAGATGATTGTCTTGAAAATATACTCTATATATATAGAGAGAGAGAGAGAGAGAGAAATCTATTTTATAAGTAATATATAGAAATAACTAGAATCATTTGTATGAACTATGCCTCCTATGTTTTGAAAATGACATGATCAATTTATCATTTTATTAATTTAATAGAAAACAACATAAAAGCCTAAATTGTAATTAAGGGAGACAAAAAGAATAATATTTTGATATAATCATATTAATTATTGATAATTCAATTAAAATTAAACAATAATGATCAAAATTTGGTTGATATATATATATATATATATATATATATATATGATCACAATATATAGAGAGACACTTGGAATCACGTGAGACCATTTTTTACATTTGAAATTTCACAGCAAAATATTGTGAAGGTAACCTTCACAATGTTTTTGCTGTGAAGGTTCGATTTTTTTTACTTTCACAATGTTTTGCTGTAAACTTTCAAGCGTAAAAAAATGGTCTCAAAGATCTCACGGAAACAAGTTAGTCTCACGTGAACTCAACCCTATATATAATTAAGAATTATGAAAAGATCAAAAAGGGTAAAAACCACTTATCATGTATCATTTTATATTGTGTAACAATATATATGAAAGTATAATGTTATTTCATATCATACCGTGAAACAAGATTGTATTTTCACATACATTGTCTCATAACAAATGGATGATTATTCATGAATTTTTATTTTTATTTATAGTTTTCATTTAATTATTATCAATATATTATATATATAATAAATTATAACTTTTTATTAAAAATAAAAAATAAAATCATAAATAATATTTTTATTTGTTTTTCAAAATAAGAGAAATAATGACACGTAAGCAGTGAGAAAGAGATGGAAACCGGTGAGATGAGTAGTTGTAAGCGGCTCGTGATATAAAGGGATTTTGGTTAGTAGGTGAGTTGGGTACGTGGTCACCTTTCCATCTTTTATGTGGTCTAGACTTCATGTGTTTATTTTCACTTTGTTTTTTAAATTACTAAATTGTATTTTGGTCCCTCGTTTATTATTGTTTTTACGGTTTTTGTTTTTACGGTTTGTAAAGTACATTGTTAGTCCAATTTCGTGTTTTGGAGCACGAACTGGTCTTTCCATTTAACATCGTTAAAGGAGGGTCTGTTAAGTCAGTCGTGTTCTTCTCCAATGACGTACCAATAATTTCTTTTAAACGATCGCGTCATCTAACTGTGAAAAACAAATATAAGGATATTTTTACGAAATCATTATTGGTTAGTCGGTTAGTTCATTGCTTTTCGTATGTGAGGTTTTGTGTTCAAGTCTTTTATTGTAATTTTTTTAGAAATATGATAAATCTGAATTTAAAAGCTAAAAACTAAGAAATAACACTAATAAGATTTGAGCTTGAGTCTAGGGTGGAAAAAAAGTCTTGCAAACTAACTTTACCAAATGAAACTTGTGTACTCATTGTAGTTTCAAAATATATATGATAGCACACAACAAACTGATGTGGTGACACTTTTCACGACCCAATAATTTTTTACACTAAAACTGAGGAACAAAACATAACACGGGCCATTGTATGCTCTGAAGATGGTTTTGTCCTTGTGCTTTTCACATGAGGGGCATTTTTGTTTTTTATGCCTAAATTTAGAGTGAGTTATATTTTTGCCCCTGGTTTATGGCTGCTTCTTGGTTTTGTCCTTGCAATTCGTAATGTACAACGGTAGTCCATTTTTCGTGTTTTGGTAGAGTCCATTTTTCATGTTTTGAAGCCTCAGATGGTTCCTCCCTTGACATTGTTTCTCCGACAAACTCCACCCCCTTCATGAAAACCCCTGTTCTTGGAACCTCTCTACCCTCCAACTTTAAACAACCCTTATTCGTGATAATCCATGCTCTTGAAACCTGTATGTCCTCGTTGATATGAAATGATGAACCACACCACCACAAGCATTGTCCTTAGGTTTCTTGACCATATTTTTTTTTTGAAGTATATAATATTTATATACGGCAAATAGAACAAATAAACTCACACACCCTCTTCACTCTAGGTGAGGTTTGAACCCTTAACCTCCTAGAAGGCCAATGACTCACATACCGCTAGGCCAAAGGCTCTTTGGTAGGTTTTTTGACTATTGTCAGACATAACTTTTATTTTGGTACATAAGATGTAAAATTTTAAACATTTAAGTACATGGTAACCGGTTGAAACATTAACTGATTATCATGCTGATGTGACGAGTGATATGGTATCCAACTCGATATTATTTGCTGACATGGTTAGTGACATGAATTTTTTTAATCTAAAATTAGTCTTTTTTTAATCTAAAATTAATCTTCAATCGAGTACTTAAATGTTTAAAACTTTACATCTTAGGTATCAAAATGGAAGTTTTGAAAGTACGTTACCCATAATAGAAATCAAGTCAAAATATAACAAGATATATTTCAATAATAATATTTCGTTTTATTATTTATCTATGTCGATATAATACGACTTTTAGTGGTTTTAAGAAAGCGATATTATTATTGAATAAAATATAAATTTAAATATATCACAAAAATTAAAATATATATATATATATATATTGATATTAGTATCAAATTTACTATTTAAAGTTTTGGTTTTTTGTTTAATTTATTTAATTCAACATTCTATTATAATTTAATTTAGATTTAATAACGAAGTAAGTTATCTATCGTTTAATAATATAACTTTATAAAAATAATAATTAAGTATTTTGTTATAATTATTGATTATCCTATTTATATTTTAGATTTTTATATTCAAAATGAGATGTCTATCCCGTATTTGATTATGTTTATCTATAGTTAGTTACACAAGTTCAAAAATGAAGTTTTAATAAGTTGTACTCACACACAATTTACTTGCGATCTTAAATTTTAAGTAATATGAATCAATAAACAGTACTTAATGCATAAAAAATTATTTTTAAGAATTTTTGTCAAATATTTATAATATAATATATATAATTATCCATTTTAATTATTAAATTACTACAAAAATAAATATTCAAATACTTCAAGTGGTATTATATTTATCATACGAGGGTATTATAATTGATTATTATTTTTTATTTAATATAATTGATCAACAACATATTTATTAGCAGCTTAATGAGCTTAAAAAAACTTATAATTTCTTTAGTTGGCAATAGATGGTTATCTGATAGTAGTTTAAATGATACAAATAGTGGCTTATACAGAAAAAGTTATGTAGAGAAACCAAATGGCCTTTAGACTAGCGGTATCTGAACATCTTGCCTTCTAAGATGTCAAAGGTTCAAACCTCACCAATGATAAGAAAATTATATAAGTTTATTTGTTGAATTTCTCATATATAATTTATTTTATCTATACTATATTATAAAACATTTGACAAAAACTATTAAAAACCATTTTTTATGCATAAAATATTATTTATTAATGCATATTACTTAAAACTCAAGATTACAAGTAGATTGTGCATAAGTAGAACTTATTAAAGCTCCATATCTGAATTTGTGTAACTAACTACAGATAAACATAATCAAATACAAGATAAACATCTTATTTTAAATATAAAAAATCTAAAATATAATTAGGATAATAATTGAGTTATAACAGAATACTTAATTATTATCTTTATAAAATGTTATATTATTAATCCAAAAATAAATTATTTTGTTATTAAACTTAAATTAAATTAAATTATAATAAAAAAATTAAAGAAATTATATAAAAAATGAGAATTTTTAAATAGTTGATTTGATATTAACATTGATACATTTTTTAAAAAATTTTATGATATTTTCAAATTTATATTTTATTAAAAAATAAAATCATTATTGTATTCTTAAAAACACATAAAACCGTATTATAACATCGATAAGAACAAATAATAAAATAGAACATTAAAATCAATATATATTTTGCTGGATTGAAAAAAACTCTTCTAATATGTTTTAAACAAAAAATTTAAACGAATATTTTTTTGAAACCTATTCCTCCTGAATCCTGATTAAGAACACGTTCAAAAAAACCTTCCAAACAATGGGCTTGGGCCTAATGAATCAACCGTCCATGCCTCCATGGTATTATGGAATATGCGTCTTCCTAAATTACAAACCAACCCCCACGCTAAACGACAAACCCATAAAGATCTTTACTAAATAAAAGTTTCAAATCCAGCCCTCTAAATATTATATTATCCACAAATGGTCCTTAAACTTTTCTTATTTAAAATTCATAACTATGAAAATTTTATTTTCTTGTTCTTGAGCAAAAAAGGCTGGGAGAATAATGGCGGCCTCGTTTCTCCCTTCTTCAACTTTCTCTTCGATTACAGCTTCGTTTTCCTCATCTACGAACTCAAGAAGTGGTTTTGGATTCTACACTAGTTCGTCGTCTTTTGAATCCCTTTCGCGTACTTCAATCGGTTCATCCCGTCGGCTCCATTCAAGGTAAATTTCATTTTTATTTTCTTTTAATTCGTTTGTTTTCTTTGAATTATTCGAATTTTGTTCTAAATCTAGAGATATGTATGGATTTTGTAGCTAAGGAGTAATTTTTTGAGATTTAGAATCGATGATAATCGTTTTAGATCAGAGGAAAACAAGGTATTTGGTTTGATGAATATTGAAAAGCTATTATTATGTTATTTATTTTAGAAAATTTGAGGTTATGATGAAAATTGATTCTAAAACTAGTCTGTTTGATTAAAAAATTCGAAAGCGACAAGTCATGGAAGTGTTTGAGAGTTCTTGATTGTGATGATCGAAGGTAATTTTCCTTAAAATTCAGCGTAGGCTAGTTAATTGAGCAAGGAGATGTAGTTTATGATGATGCAGTCAGTGTTTTGGGCAGGGAATTTGAGTTTCCAATTTGTATATGGAAATTTATACTGGTTGTTCTTGGGCTACGTTTCTAAGCCCTACCTTTAGTTACCAAACATTCTAGAAAAAGGGATTCGACCGACAATACACTTGATGTTAGATGATGCAAGGAATTTGAAATTGCAACTGTTTATGGAAATTTATATTAGCTATGCTCCACTTAATTTCTAGACCTTGAGTTCTCAAGCAATCTCTAAAGAGTCTGATCAATGATTTAGAGGATTATCCTCACCTTTTAGGGGATGGATGTAATTGGGAGTTATTGATCATCATGGTTCTACAGGAATCAACCATTGAACCCAGCCTAGACTAATTAATTGACTCCATCTTCAAGGTGATTGGGGTTGATGAGCAATCGTCCCTGATCCTTTACTAAAATGATTAGTTATTCATTGAGCATTTAACATGGGTGTACTTAGTTTTCAGAGGAGTCATTATTACAGTAATAAAATGCATAAAGAGGTAATTCCTAGTGTATATGATTTAATGATGTAAATGCAGTTCTTTCTAGCCCAAATTTGGTCTAATTGACCACAAAAGTGAACATAGAAACCTGTGTGGAATGCCTTTGTATTTTCTTTAGACTTAGTATTTGTTTATTTGGAAATAAGCTTCAATCCTTAGAGTGATTCTGAAATTTCTGGAGTATAATAGATAATTAGCATAGATTGTTGGCCGTCTATTATTATGTTAAGAAGTATTTGTTTGGAATTGGTTGTTTACCTTCTGTTAAATTTCATTTTTGTGCAGTTTATTGATCATTTATGTAATTAAACTTATGTAGGAGGTTGTGTAATGTCCAAGCAACCATTTTGCGAGAGAATGAGAAGAAAGTGAGCGTGGAAGAGACATTTCAACCTAAGACTTTGTCGGGTGAAGAGAATGGAAGGCCTAGTGAGGCCCCAAATGATCAACCTTCAAGTTCTGTAGGATGGGTCATAAAGCTTGAACAATCCATAAACATCTTCCTTACGGTATATTTTCTATTCTTATTAAACTATTCTTTATCTGCCTTTGGTGTTTATTTTCCATAAATTCACTTCTCAGATTATGTCATGTTCAGATTCTTGGAAAGCGATCCATCGTGCTTAATCGACACTTGTTACTGGATGTTTAATTAATACAAGAAAATAATATATGTTTCTCATTTCAGGATTCAGTAATCAAAGTACTCGACACATTGTACCATGACAGAGACTATCCAAGATTTTTCGTTTTGGAGACAATAGCAAGAGTCCCATACTTTGGTAAGTGTTAATTTCAGTTCTCACCACCACCGTCAGTAAGCCAGGACCCCTTTTAAACCCAAAGATTTTGCATTTAGCTATTAGAGATGAAGGGAGATATTTTTCTGTCACAAAGTGAAAAGATTCTTATACTACTGGATACTGTCGCATCTCACACATGTTTAGGTGCTTCTTGGCCCTCCAAAACAACCTTTTATATTTTTGCTTCTGTTTCTTATATTTTGCTTATAGTATCTGTTTAAGTGGACCCAGAAGCACATGAACATGTATGCCCAAAATGAAAGGGATGTTTAATATGAGATAGACTACAGAATTCAAATTAGCTGCACATCATATACTCATGTTGGTGCTGGGTCATGTGGGCTAAGTTGGTTTGTGAATCTATGCTACTGAAAAGCTATGGTGGCTAGTTTATTATTCAAAGAACCTGTATTTTCTGCCGTATAACATTGGTCTTTGGTTTCCTTATCTTCGCTGCAGCTTTCATGTCTGTTCTTCACATGTACGAGAGTTTTGGTTGGTGGAGAAGATCAGAGTATCTGAAAGTCCACTTTGCTGAGAGCTGGAATGAGATGCATCATCTGCTTATTATGGAAGTAATGTTCGTACATTAATTACATTCCCTGCCAATTTCAATTGTGAATTTTTATACCACATTAATATAATGGCCTTACATCTGCTAATATTTGATATATGGGCTCTATATGGAACTACTTCTACATCTGCATTATAAATAAAAGGTGCATCCCTTCCATTTGTAGAAATTAAATTCCGATAATCAGTTGGTCCATTGGTATTTCACCATTTGTGATGGACTCTTCAATTTTTAGGATTTTGTTCCCTAATTTATGGAATATTGTATAGACTAATGATGTTTTTATATACGTTAAACCAAACCAAACTAAACGAGCCCAATATATCCCTTCAGGAAGTGGTTTTTCTTTTTCTTTTTTTTTGGGGGGGGGGGGATGCGCACAAATCTGTCCTCTATCCCAGAGAGTAGAGCAACTATTTTCGGGAAGATCCGACTTGCAAAAAATGTGTGCGAAAAAGAAAGCTTGCCTAGAAGTCTAAATAATTTGAAAAAGGGAAAGAAAATTAAGCCAACAGACGGAAATTGGAAAGAAGACTAAGTTAGAGAAAAGTAAGCAACATCATATAATCAAAAGTAGGTACAAAGAAACATAACAAATGTAAGACAACAAAACATGTCCTAGTCTATGTTAGGACTGTTATTTTCGTGAAGATCCCTGGCTTGCAAAAAATGTGTTCAAAAAGAAAAGCTTGCCCAAAAATTCTGAACTATTTGAAAAAAAGAAGATATGGAAAAAGGAAAGAAGATTAAGGCAAGAAACGAAATTGGAAAGAAGACCAAGGCTAGAGAAAAGTTAGCAGCACCATATAATCAAAAGTATTAAAGTAGGTACAAAGGAACATAACAATGATAAGACATTGAGACATCTCCTAGTCTATCTTAGGACTCTGGTAGCCGATCTACGTGCTCACTACCCTACCCTCATCTTCTACCTCTCTAGCGCCCTTCTTCCCGATTAGACTAGCTACATGTCTCTACCCCTAATCTGCTGCTGCGAGCTTGCGTCTCCAAAAACTCCTATCGAAGGGCATGTCCTCAGAGATGCCCAAGGCTTCCATGTCTATTCTTAGTTGCTCATTTTGACGTCCTCCTCAACTTGCCCTCTGTTATGAATCAGCAAAAGAGAGTGCAGCAAACACAGTAATATAGAGGAAGTACTTAGCCAAATTGGATTCACTCAAGTAAATGAATGTAAAATAAAAGACAACTATCGGAACCTCTAGCAATTCGAGAGTGCCAGTCTCTCCCATCTACTGCATCCTACCTATTTATACTAATTATTTATTCTAAGAAGTACCCAAACTACCCCTTCTTAACCATTCTAGAATATCACTTAGGAATGGGCTTGGGCCTAAGGTGGGTGCATGACACCCTCCTTGCTCCCTCAACCGTCACACCTTCTACCCTACTCAGGGAAGCTGCTAACTGCTCCTAACAAACGTGTCCAAACCACCAGAGTCTTCCCTCTCTACTTATCTGTGATAGGTGCAACTCCCGTAATTAGTACATGTAAATACAGGGAAAACAACTAGATGGGTAATTGTATTTAAAGAATGAGTAACATATACATGTATGCTCATTTCATGGGGACAGGCTTCTTATTTTTGAATAAATATGGATACATATGTGTGTGCATTGTATCGTGTCTGTTTAGCTATTTCTGGGTTATCTTATGGTGAATGCTTATTCTTTTTGCAGGAGCTGGGGGGAAATGCTTGGTGGTTTGATCGGTTCCTTGCTCAACATATTGCCATCTTCTATTATTTCATGACAGCGTTTATGTACACCTTGAGCCCGAGAATGGCATGTGAGTATGAACGATTATGTTAACTTCTTGTTGCCAAACTATTGATTTTAATTTGATACAATACTTGATGAGAGCTCTTTCGCTTTCCCTATGTATTGCTTTTCTTTTACTTTGGATTTACATTTAGTTTGCTTGAATCACACACTCAGATGTTTTATGTGCTGACATCCCACCAAGGTTTTTCTGATATTTATATGTTCGTTGATTTATTCGTGCAGACCATTTCTCTGAATGTGTGGAGAGCCATGCATTTGAAACGTATGACAAATTTATCAAGGCAAAAGGAGGTATGCCTTTTTTCGCCATCTATCAGTACCAACTAGAATAACATTGTGTTGACTCTACACCTAGTACGATAACTTGTCACTATTAATCACGTCTAAAATCCCCTTCAGTAGAGCAAAATATGCCAATCATGTCAACCGAAAGCTTAGCATCAATAATCTGTAATGATCACAACAGAAAATTTGTAATTTTAGCTCAATTTTTTGCCAAAAAAGGGAAATTTTCTCTCAATAGGAAAGACTAGGCGAACCATGTCGACCAAAAGCAACAACAGTATCAATTATTAATGATCACAATGAGCAAATAGGTAATTTTAGTCAAGATTTTGCTAACAATGGGCAACATTATATCCCCAAAATGGAAATTTCTGCAAGTTTTCATTCTACCTAGTACCAAGTTCAACGAACAGATATCTAAAATACCATTTAGAAATGCAAACCACACGAATCATGTTGACCAAAAAAAACATCAATAATTTGTAGCGATACGATGGGCAAATAGGTAATTTTAGCTCAAATTTTTCCTAAAAAAGGAATTGTTCTCCTGAAGCAGGAAATTTCGAAATTTTTTCATGGGACAGGGAATGCCATATATTACTCCGTCCTAAAATGAGTGTCCATGTTTCTATTGTAGTTGTCCCAAAAAAGTGTCCCATTTAAAAAATAAGTTTCTATTTTTCAATTCTACTCTTAATTATGAGATGGAGAACTTCATTACTCCCACTATTATTAAGGGTACAATTGTCATTTAATTAATTAAAAAGTGTAATAATTACATATTTATGAGGCATTTACTTTGGGATGGAGGGAGCACTAAACTAACTAACATACAACTGATGATGTTGTTTCCCTGGTGTTTATCAAACAGATGAATTGAAAAAACTTCCTCCATCTAAAGTTGCTGTTAAATACTACACAGAAGGAGATTTGTACTTGTTTGGTAAGTCCCACTTCAGCTATACATAATACCTATTTTATTCGTTTATTTGTTTATTATATGACCATTTTACCATCTCTATTCAGATGAATTTCAAACTGCAAGACTTCCCAATACTCGAAGGCCAATAATAGGTAAGAAATACCCGAATTGTCCCGAGTTATTTAGAAGAATAACCTTCTGACAGATATTTAAAATGCAAAACTTTCTTACAAATTTGGAGTCATTCTTGTCTTAGGAAGAGATGTTTTTAAATTTGTCAGAAGGTCATACATTTGAAAATAATGTGTCAAAAGGTTATTCTCTTAAATAACCCTGAATTTCCTCGGTTATTTAGGATTTTTAAGTTCATGACCTTCTTGACAAGTTTCAGACATTCTTATGTTAGGAAGAGGCATCCTTTAATCGGTTGTTTAGGGTTATTCTCTTAAATAACCCTGAATTCCGTCGTTTATTTAAGAAAATACTCTTCCTAACGGATATTTGTTGACAAATTTTGAGTCATTCTTATGTTAGGAAGAGGCATTCTTAAATCTGTCAGAAGTTATTTAAGAGAATAATCTTTCCAGCAGATGCTTTTTAAATGCATGACCTTCTGAAAATTTTCAGGCATTCATGTGTTATGAAGAGGCGTTCTTAAATCTGTCAAAAGGTCATACATTTGAAAAAAATATGTCAGAAGGTTATTCTTCTAAATTCTAATAACCGGATTGTTCTTGAGTCCAACTGATACGACCATCAAACTTCAAAATTGCCCGACTGAAATAAATTCTATATATTTATATATGATTTGTTTTTATGTCCAGAAAATTTGTATGATGTGTTCATGAACATTAGAGACGACGAAGCAGAACATTGCAAGACAATGAAGGCATGCCAAACTCACGGGAACCTTCGTTCTCCCCACACGGACCTTGAAAACGTTTCTTCTGAAGATGATTCAGGTTGCATTCTTCCCGATGCAGAATGCGAAGGTATTGTAGATTGTATAAAGAAATCCGTTACAAATCCTACTTTGAACCATAGGCCATAAACACACACACACACAAAGATGTACGTATACACGATGATTAATAGTAGCATCCTGTTAAATATACATCATATATATATATATATATATAGATCTAATATAAGTTCTAATCTTTCTTAGAAAATATGGGTTATACATAAGCAACTCAATCTTGCATTGAATCATTGTTACCATGAGAGATTTTGAACTTTTGCAATATACATATTGGGTGCTTTTCCACATTGAGTAAACAATTACTGTAACTTCAGGTCAACTCAACTGGTAAATAAAGGTTTGGTGTTGAGGGTCTATTCTGTAAGTTTTTAGTTCGAGTCTCATTAGGGTTAGTGTGAGAAGGAGAATTAAAGTGAGATGCACCGGATGAACCGGATCAATCCCGGTATCAAGCGTGATTCATGGATGGGTTTGAGATTAAAGATGATTAAGGGTCCAGATCCGTTCTTACGCTTTTCACCTTAACTCACCTTCTCACACGAACCTGACCCTAGATATATATGATGCTTGTTTTTCTTATATGTAGTTTAAGATCCAACTATACGAGGATTAGACAAATAACTTGCATTTGCGTAACGAATCAAACCTTGTTTTGTATTGTTAGGAATAAAATAGACTAAGGGGTTGTTTACCAACGCTTGCCCGGGGTAATTGCTTGCCGACAAAATTCAACATTATCACTTACTTACTGGGTAAGATTTTAATCCACCAAAATGGTATTTCATGCAACAATTTACCCGGTAAGTGTTAACCATGGTAAGTGTGTCGCTCTCACTTACCAAGTAAGACTCTCGGTCCTTGCCTTCACTCTTACCGGGTAAGATTCGTGAGTCGTTACCATATTCATCCGGTAAAACAATGTGACCTGGTAAGCGCTTACCCGAGTACATCGACCAGTAAACCCCTAAATCGACAATTCCTCAAAGGTAGGGAAAATATGTGCTCGACCCAGGGCCGTTCCTGGGGGAGGGAGGCACGGGCGCACGCCCAGGGCCCAAAAATATCAGGGGCCCAAATTTTTTCCTTTAAAATATATAGTAGTCTAAAAGAATTTAATAAATTAAAGAAACCAAAAAATTGTAGCATATAATAAGAGACAAAAATAATTTAGTAGATAATAAGGGCCCAAAAATATATCAACTAATTACATTAGAGAAGAAAATAAAAAAAATTAATTGGATATTCATTATATGCTATTGTTTATTACTCCTCTAATTTTTTTTATCTTCAACAAAGTCCAATGATATTGGCTATTGCTATCTCTATATACTTGACTATTTTCGTGCTTCAACAATTCAACGTTAAGATCATGTGCTTGCTATTGCTATATACTTTTGTTAGATATTTTTATCAATTTCTATTTTTATTGACTATTGCTATTTGGTTATGTTGTTCTAATTGTTTTTGTTGACTATTGTTATCTAATTTTGCTTCTACATAAAATATTTTACTTTTTTTACAATTAATCTATTGTTCTTATGATTTATGACGTGTTTCATAGTTTTGTGATTAATCAATAAATTTTTTTTACTAGATGTATTTAGTAATGTCTCTTATATATGTCATGTTTCATAAACTTTTAATATTAACATCTTATTTTAGTTGAGCAAAAAAAAAGGAAAATATAATTTAAATATTTTCATCAATTGTTTGACTTATGTATCTTTCATTGGGATTCCACCACACCACAAGATTCTATTTAAATGCTCAAACAATCATTTGTTGAGTTTGCATATTATATGTTTAATTCATTATTTATTTTTACTAGATCTCAATAGATCATCTTTTCTTTCATATTMTTATTGATCTTCATTTGTCTAYTTGTCTAKAAAACYTTGATAATCTTCTTTATTATTTATCTCTCATTGACCTCACGTTTATTTCATTAACACGAAATCTCTTTTTGTATCAAAATAACACATATTTCTTGTTATAAAGTAAAATTTTCTTACTTTTTATAAAAATTTATCAACCATAGTTTCTATACTCTTGGTTTAAAATTACATAATAAAAAGTGCGTAAATTTAAGTACTCTCTTATATATCTATAATAAAGATGAATAAGATTTCTTTACTCAGTAAATTATTAGCATTTCTTGTACTCAATTTTATACTAATGAAAAACATTTATTACTGGAGGTCACTACAAGAAAAGTGAGCTTTGATGATACGCCTTTTAGCGATGACATGTGTCACAAGTTATAGCGATGACATGTTGTTATATACTCTTTCTAATGATAAACGGACTTTTAGCGACAACAAAAGTTGTTGCTAAAAGCCTTGTTTCTTGCAGTGGGGCCCCTGTTTTTATGTTCGCCCAGGGCCTAAAAAATGTCAGAAACGGGTCTGGCTCGACCTCATTCAAATGTTAAAAAATGTCAGAAACGGGTCTGGCTCGACCTCATTCAAATGTT